ACATACAGGTGCATGCCCACTGGCTGGGAACACTAAGCTAACGTTCTCAGCCAGTGAGCATGGCCCTGCTAAAAGGGACATTATATTCATCAGAACCAATACAACTTAATGTAGTGGTTCTGGTGTCTATAGTATTTCCCTGCAGGGTTTTAGTGTTTTTTCCAGAGAAAAGGCAATGTTTCCAAAGCTACCTCGTAGCACTTTCAGTGACAGTCACTCAGCCACAGTGCGCAGTACTGGCGTTCATCGTCTCCACTCTCTGCGGGATGTCCTGAACGCTCCCCGTAGAGGTGCATTGATTTAATGCATCTCTAGGAGGAGATGCTGATAAGCACAGCATAAGCATAATAGCCTCCCAATGCTTTCCTATGGGAAAGCATTGAATTGGCTGAGATTATCAAGATCAATCTCAGCCATGGAGGCGTTGCGAGACCAGCGAGGTGATGGAGAAAAGGCAGGAACTCCACCATGAGGAGGCCGGGAACCTAAATATTTACTCCAGCAATATAGTGTTCAGAATACATGTTTGTATTCCTAGCAATATAGTGTTCCTTTAATTCCTGCAAGGGGAATCTGAAAGCAGGGGGTGTAGGTGCAGGCACTTGGTTGGAATAGGGTAGGTTTTCCAACTGTTCTAAAATAGTCTGACATCTTACCTCGGTCCTGCTTGAAGCTGTACAGTAGGCTTTAGTGCATGTGGTGCTTGGAGTGTTGGTTGAAAATTCCTGACCCTATAGTGTATAACCCACCATTTACGTGGCTTGCCCCCCCTTATCCCACTATAAAGGTTTTAAACACACCTTATTTCCAGCGCAGCGCGGGTTCGCCGGTGCTCCCTCCGCCCCTTTCTGACATTATCAAAATGGGCGATTTTAGCAAGGGGGCGGTGCCAAATTACATTTTACCCAATTAGGACCTCCTCCTAGAGATGCATTGAATCAGTGTATCTCTATGAGGACAATTCAGCGTCTCCATGCAGAGCGTGGGGACGCTGAACGTCAGGGCTGCTTTTTCGGAAGCACTGACCCAATAAGCACCTCCAGTGGCCATCTAAGGAGTGGCCACTTGGAGTTGTCCCTAGAGGCAATGTAAACACTGCTTTTTCTCTGAAGCTGTAGTTGTTCTGGTGACTATAGTGTAGTTGTTCTGGTGACTATAGTGTCCCTTTAAGTTTAATTTCACCTCTGCAGATATTGGCACTTCTTTTCTAATAGTATTAGCAATGTCTTAGCCACGGGGAGCCACTGGCTAAGCAACTCTCATGCCTGTATGTCTCCCACTGTGTAATTTAGTATTTCAAACTTTCAGCTGTGACATGTAGGCATTAGACTAATAATGTTAATTTATTATTCAAAAATAAGCAGTACTCTTGATGTCACACTAATCTTATGCTGTGTTTAACGATGTGTTTGTGTCACAGCAAACATGTTTGTTTAATCTATGCACAAATAAAAAAAAAAAACTTGATATATTCAAACAGCACACAGTAAACTTTTAAACTTTATTCCATCACTGGAAAGGTATGTCAGGGAAAAAAAAAAAGAGTAGGAGAGGGAGCATAGAATCCATACATCTTGTCTATAGCATAACATCACCCCTCGCCAGCTTTATATTTTATTTTATTATCCACATTTACTTCACTGACTCCCATTTATTGACAGTAGTACCCTGATATTTTTGGGAAGCAATAATTCAGTTCAATACATCGTAATAACTGCTGTTGACAAGATTCTAAAAAAAATAGTAAGTTTTATAAATATACAATCATGAAAATATTTGTTTTGAGTGCTCAAAGATGACAGAAATGAAATATGAACGCTTGTTAATATTTTCATCATGAGAAAGTTGCCTCTGACCTACAGTGCTTATTAGAACAACTCATGAGAAATGTGAAACGCAATCTGTGAAAAAATTCCTAATGGAAAATGCCAATAAAATAGTATTACTGCGTCTTTTAAACAAGTTTGGGTGAAAAGGCCGCTAAAACCATGTCTTACTATGATAAATACAAGAAATGTGTTTCAAAAACCAGAAGGAAATTGTGTATATATTTTTTTGATGATTCAAAAACGGTACCCGGGTTGTTATGGTGCTAAGACCACAGTTTTAAGTATAGTAAGCTTTTTGGAATTTTTTATTGCTTTTAAAAATTCTTTTTACTATTTGGTAAAATTGCATTAATAACAATTCTATTTAAAGCAGCAATAAACATATTGGGACTGTAAAAAAGTAACTTTTTTTTTCTTCCATAAATTAAAACCAATGGCTGGCACTATAGAGAAAAGGCAGTCAGTGCCAAAAAAGGAATAACCTGCACTGGTCCAGCCATTCACTCTGTTGTCTGTGGAGCTTTTCTGCAATCATCAAAAGATATTGTCTCCTGGTCAGAGGCTGAACCAGGATTTAAAGGGATATTTAGTTTCTTTGGTACATATAATATGAAATCTATTACATATATCTCCTGTTGTGAAAATAAACACATTTGCTTTTATTTGGGTGTGCTATCCACCTCTCCGTGTGCATTAACTGCTGCTTTTCAAATTAAATATATTTTCTAAGCACTAGAACTACTACAATTTTCAAAAGTGACTATAGTACAAAGACTTGATCTATGCACCTATTCAGAAATCCTGTTTTGACAGGGTGTAACCTCCGCTCATCTTGCAACCCAGAACAAGGAAATAGTGCTTTGTTTCAATAAACATTGTTGTTTTTCCCTTCACTAAGTCTCGGCTAGTGCTTTTTCTCTCTAACTAAACTAAAATTACTTGTATCATTCTCATGCAAACAATATGCGATCCTGGGCTTATATATCTAATTTACTCAAAAGCTTCACTTCAAGTTTCTTACTATGCCCCCCTCCCCATCTAATACACAGCTCCCACTCTTGTACACTGCCCCCTCCTCCCAAATATAATACACTGCTCCTCCCCCAAATATAATACACTACCTCCACTCCCTCCCCCAATCTAATACGCTGCACCCTTCCATCACTCTAGTACACTGCCTCCTCCCTCCCACCACTCTAATACACTGCCCCCCTCCAGTACACTGCCCCACCTCCATCCTCCCAATTTAATACATTGCACCCCTCCCACCACTCTAATACACTGTACTCGGCATCCCGGTAGGCCAGTCCTGCCCTGGGGCCGAAAAGATACTCATTGTGGGCCGCGTGCGGCCCTCGTTGACGTGCTTGATTTACTACAATGTCAACAGCATTGTGATAAAGCACTTGGATTTCAAAATAATGGTGAAATAACAACTGTGCGGCTGAAAAGTTATCAATTTAGCTATTATGTAAAAAAAAAAAAATATTTTCAAAGTGAAACCAAGTCATATTAATCTTGGCAGGGGGAATGTTACAATTCACGGACACTTTGTTAAATGTAACTCCATGGAAATACCCTCATATGTTTTAATATACGTACCACCACATTGGTTATTTAAGTAAATCTTCTATACAGGAAGGATTACGTAATACTTCCAGCTGTGAGCTATAGGAGCTTTTTTTCCCAAAATAATGTCTGTTGTAAACATTGTACCACATACTTAGCTTTATCTTTGTTTACAGCACTGTTCCTATAATTATTGACTTGGCTTGAGATCAGAGAGAACTGTAGGCAATTATTTCTCAGAAGAGGGAAATCTGTGTACATTTCGTACAGTTTTTGTAAGAGCATAGTACAGTGGGACCTCGGTTTACGAATTTAATGCGTTCTCCGGGACGTTTCGTATTGCGAAAACACGGTTTCCCATAGGAATGCATTGAAAACCAATTAATGCGTTCCGCAGGTGAGAAAAAAGTCAAATAAAGTATTTTATCTGTTCAAAACTCTTTATAAAGTGCACTTTAACCCCTTAAGGACACATGACGTGTGACATGTCATGATTCCCTTTTATTCCAGAAGGTTGATCCTTAAGGGGTTAAAGGCATAAATACTGTACAGGGACATGATTAATAACATTTCAAACATCCAACTTTATGTTTTAAAACATCACACATCAACTTTTAAAACCTGGCAGACTGTTGGTAACATGGTACAGTACACTTCAACTGTACATAAATCACACGTCAACAGGGAAAACATGGAACATTTCTAAACAATTTTAAAACTTTTTGGAAGATGAGGTGGACGAGGGCTATTGGGCAGCACTAACACAAGCAGGTTCTTTTTCATGTCTAGCCTGTTTTTGTAGGAACCATTCCATTGTCTTCTGCCTCTGGCGCCTTTTAAGCATCCCTCGGAAAGGGGGCATGATGTCCGTGTCAAAACTGCTCACAAGTCTGGGGGCTAGAGCCTTATCTGTGTGGTGCTGCTGCTGTACAAAAGTCTGTAGGTTTACCCACATTTGGCATGCCTCCTTGAGTTCCGTGGAAGAGAGCTGTTCCTCACTCATTTCCTCCTCCTCCTCAAATGCGGTCTGCTCCTCCATCACTTCCTTCTGCAATTCCACCAGCTCCTTGGTGGTTAGGTCACGGTCGTGTTCCTCTACCAGCTCGTAGACATCCTCCTCAGTCACCTCCAGTCCCATGGTCCTCCCCAAGGAAACAATTTCCTCCAACACTGTTGACTCTGGTGCAGGTGTAGAAGCACTTAAGGCAGGTTTCACAACACAGTCTGGCCACAGGTTGCGCCAAGCAGAATTTAGGTTTGTCTGGCTGACCCCGGCCCAAGCAATGGCGATAATCTGCAGACAGCTCACAATGTCAAAATGCTGTCTCCAAAATTCATGGAGGGTGAGGCTTGAGCGATCTGTCATCTCAAAGCATCGCCGGAAAAGCTGATGAAATTAAAGTCCTCCAGCAAGTCTTCCTTGAGGCCTGGAAGATGGGCAGGAGCATTGTCCATGAGCAACATGGCCTTGAGTGGCAGGTTATTGTCCACAAGGTACTTCACAGCAGGACCAAAAACCGCATTGACCCACTTCACAAACAAGAGGCGTGTGACCTAAGCCTTTTTTGTTAGACTGCCAGAAAACGCTCAACTGCTCCTTGTTCACCTTGTGTTTCTTGAAGGCCCGTGGGTTCTCTGAATGGTAGACAAGCAGGGACTTGATCTTAAGGTCCCCACTGGCGTTGGCGCAGAACAGGGGGTGAGACGGTCCTTCATCGGCTTGTGGCCAGACAATGAGGTCTCCTCTTCTGTGATGAAGTTACGCTTTGGCATCCTCTTCCAGAAGAGTCCAGTCTCGTCGCAGTTGAAGACCTGCTGAGGAAGGTAGCCCTCTGAAACTATGACCTCCAGGAACTCCGTAGCAAATTCCTCAGCTGCAGCAACATCGGAACTTGCAGCCTCTCTATGCCTGACCACACTGTGGATGCCAGATCTGCTCTTGAACCTTTCTAACCACCCCCTGCTGGCCTTGAAGCTTTCTGCATTTGCTGACATTCCTGGCTGTTGTTTGAGGAGGTCAGCGTGCAACGCCTTGGCTTTTTCGCAGATGATCGCCTTGGTCACTGAGTTCCCTGCGCGCTGCTTCTGTTCAATCCAGAGCAGGGGCAGCTTCTCGACCTCCTCCAGAACAGGTGGCCGTTGCTTGGAGACCCTGGTGACTCTCTTGGCTGCATTTCTCCCAGTTATCTTCTCTTTCATTTTTAGGATTGTACTGATTGTGGATGCACTCCTTCCATACTCTTTGGCAAGGTCAGTCAATCGCATTCCTCCTTCATGCTTCCTGATGATTTCTTTCTTGTCCTCAAGCAGAATCATCTCCTTCTTCCTCTTCCCAGCTTCCGCTGCTTTCTTGGGTGCCATGACACCACCGTCACTAAGTATGCAAAAAAATAAAAATAAAAATGCTTTACACCCACATGAGCTGGCATGGAAACCACAGTAAAAGGCATGCACAGCACATGAGCTGAAACAGGCATGCACAGCACATGAGCTGAAACAGGCATGCACAGCACATGAGCTGTAACAGGCATGCACAGCGCATGAGCTGGCATGGAAACCACAGTAAAAGTCATGCACAGGACATGAGATGTAACAGGCATGCACATGAGCTGGCATGGAAAACAACCCCACATTGCAAAACACACAGTACAGTACTGTAACAGGCATGCACAGCATATGAGCTGTGACAGGCATGCACAGCACATGAGCTGGCATGGAAAACAACCCCACAATGCAAAACACACAGTAACAGGCATGCACAGCATATGAGCTGGCATGGAAATCACCCCACAATGCAGGACACACCGTAAAAGGCATGCAAACAACTAAGCTCAGCTCCCTACCTTTCCACCTCTTGAGATGCACCAAAAAGGCTCCAAAACTTGCTGCAAATGGCTCGAAAACCTCTCCAACACCTCCACACTCACGTGCTAGCCAGACTCGAGTATGCAGGAGGCGAAGCTATAAACCAGGACACTTGTTTCGTATTGAGAAAAAAATTCATAAACCGAGGCATTTTTTTTTTTTTAATGAATTCTCATTCGTAAACCGAATTTTCCATTAACCAAGGTTCCACTATATAAGCACAATTAGAGCTATTGAAACTGGACAATGAGCATCTTACTGGAACTTTTTCTCAGCAGCTACAAGTGAAGTTGTTTTAAACTTTTGTTCATTTTACCTAAATGAGCATTTACAGCTCATAATCCATGCCTCCTTCTGTTTGCTTTTCATATGTAAATAAGAGTATGTAAAAACTCTAACATTTTCATTATTAAAGAAACTGCAATGTTTACATTGTAGGGTTAAATCCGCCTCTGGTGGCCTTTTTCCAGAGGCAATCAAGCAGCTTCCACTGCATTGACTGAGTAAAACTTGTCATGCCACATGTAAGATCACAGGAAAGTACCAAATGCAATGCTTTTCTATAGGGAAGCTTAAATGCATAAGGAATTTGCCGCGCATGTGCATCAGGTCCCCGAGCATTCGATTGGACCATCGCCAGAGGAGGCGATGCCTTCATGATGATGCCGCAAGTGGTGTATAGGGCCGGGTGTGCTGGAAATAGGTAAGTGAACGTTTTTTTTGTTTTTTGTTTTTCTCTCAGAAAAGGGAAGGCTGTATATAATTGGGGACCGGGGCATTATGTTGTTAGGAATGCAATTACATTGGTTTAATCTACTATTATTTTGATCATTTAATTAGATCATAATAACTATGAAGAAGTAGAACTATCAAATAACGGCATGTTTAAAATAAACATTGTGTGACAAACTGAAACATAGAAATATAGAATGTGACGGCAGATAAGAACCATTCGGCCCATCTAGTCTGCCCAATTTTCTAAATACTTTAATTAGTCCCTGGCCTTATCTTATAGTTAGGATAGCCTTATGCCTATCCCACGCATGCTTAAACTCCTTTATTGTGTTAACCTCTACCACTTCAGCTGGAAGGCTTTTCCATGCATCCACTACCCTCTCAGTAAAGTAATACTTTCTGATATTATTTTTAAAGCTTTGTCCCTCTAATTTAAGACAATGTCCTCTTGTTGTGGTAGTTTTTCTTCTTTTAAATATAGTCTCCTCCTTTACTGTGTTGATTCCCTTTATGTATTTAAATGTTTCTATCATATCCCTCTTTTTAAAGGAGCACTATAAGGTAAGGAACACAAACATGTATTCCTGAACCTATAGTGTTAAAACCACTATCTAGCCCCCCTACTCCCCCTTTGCCTCCCTAAAGATAGTAAAATCTTACTTGTATTTAAGTCTGAAGCATCTGCCTGTGAACTTCCTCTGACATCATCAAAAGTGGTAGCCTGATCCAATCACAATGCTTCCCCATAGGATTGGCTGAGACTGACAAAGAAGCAGATCAGGAGCTGAGCCAGCATGATTCAAACACAGCCCTGGCCAATCAGCATCTTCTCATAGAGATGAATTGAATCAATGAATCTCTATGAGGAAAGTTCAGTGTCTGCATGCAGAGGGTGGAGACACTGAATGTTTGGATGCATTTTAGGCAGCCATGACCCAGGAAGGATCTCTAACAGCCATCCGAGGAGTGGCCAGTGAAGTTATCACTAGACTGTAATGTAAACACTTCATTTTCTCTGAAAAGACCGTGTTTACAGCAAAAAGCCTGCAGGTAATGATTCTACCCACCAGAACGAATTCAATAAGCTGTAGTTGTTCTGGTGACTATAGTGTCAATTTAACAATCCCAACTGGCTACACTCCTCGTTAAATCCTCTTTGTGTCAGTGTGGCTGGGTTTAGATATATTTTATAATTATACTGCAGTGCAGCAGTTTATAACTGAACGATAAGGTGAGAAAAGAAATAAACATAATCAATCCTCCTGCGTATGAGTTGCTCAGTGCACTGACATTCTGCAACTGAGCTGTCGTTATGGAATTACAGGTTTACCGGGGACCAGTCAGACAATGGGGAGCAATCCCAAACTAAAGGCAATATTTTTCTTTGAGACATTTGAGGATTCGTTTATTTGAGACTTTGGAATTGGTGATGCCAAGTAAAAAAAAAATTAATAAAAAAAATAAAAAATTAAAGGAACACTATAATGTCAGGTAGACAAACCTGTATTCCTGACACCATACTTGTAAATACAGTTTAGGTACCTTGCCCTCCTCTGCTTCCCTTAAAAAAAGGTGGTTTTACTAACATTTCTTCCAGCCCTGCCCCAACCTCTTTACGGCTTGCCCTGCCCTGCTCTGCCTCAAAATTGATGATCTCAGCCAATCCAATACTTTCCCATAGCAAAGCATTAGGAGGCTATTGTGCAAGTGTGGCAGGCCGCTGTACTGAGCTAATCAGCATCTCCTCATAGAGCTGCATTGACTCAACTTCAGCTTCTCCATAAAAAAGTCAGTGTTTACATTAAAAAGTCTGCAGGGACATATTATAGACGCCAGAACAATTACATTAGGCCGTAGTTGCTCTGGTGACTACAGTGTCCCTTTAACTTTTTTTTTTTCCTCCTTCCATTAGTCCAAAACTTCCCTCCATGTGCAACTGTGTGGATCGAGCGATGTGGGTTGTCTTAGTATCCAGTGCTGTTAAAGTTACCATGTAATACAACCCCTCTACGCTTAGTGGCCCAATATGAGTGTAAATGGGTCTTTGTGTATGTACCTGACTTCTCTATATGCCGAGGATCTCTATGCTGATGGATCTGTATCTGCATGCCGTGACCCATAACTGTTCTGGTACCATTGTCAAGTTATTGGGATTTTTGTTTCCTGATTAGTTTGCCATTGTTGAGCGAGAATGTGCTAGTCTTCAGTATGTTTTATCTGATTAAACCCAGGGACGTATTAGCCGTGAGGCAAACGAGGCATTTGCCTTGTGCGACATTTTCCAGGGGGCAGCAAAAAAAGCCTCCCCCCAAATGCCCAGGGCAAATGTCCAAGCATTCCCAAAAGTAAGGAGGCTGGGGGGGTTGAATAAAAAAAAAAGTGAGTGTGTTAATGTGAGTGAGTGTGTGTGTCTGTTAGTGTGTGTGTCTGTTAGTGTGTGTGGGTCTGTTAGTGTGTGTGGGTCTGTTAGTGAGTTAGTGTGTGTATGTCAGGGAGTGTGTTACTATGTGTTTGTCTGTTAGTGAGTGTGTATGTCTGTTAGCTAGTGTATGCGTGTCTGGGGGGGTGCGGCGCGCGGGGGGGGCTACCTCAGTTTTGTCATGCCTAGGGCAGCACAAAACCAGGATACATCACTGAATAAACCATTTCTGTTTACGCCTAATCAAAGCCACTATTGTTTAGCTCAGGGGTAGTCAACCTTTTTATACCTACCGCCCACTAATGCATCTTTCTTCATGGAAAAATTTCCTTGCCACCCACCAGTTTTAAAAAAATTTTTAGCACAAGTGCTGAATATTTTTTAGAAAGGAGGGTGTTTAAAACATTACATCTTTATCTTTTTTTTCTACTTTATGCATGTTTATAATGCTTTTAACTTTTGATATCTGATTTTTTTGATATCTGGTTCAATTTTCATAAGGATTATTATTATGATATTTATAGAGCGCCGTCAAATTCCGCAGCGCTTTACAATGAGTTGACGAACAGACATGTAGTTGTAACCAGGAAATGGTACTGTTTACATTTTGCAATCCCCACATTCTTGGTGGCTGTTAGTCACTAGGGCAGGCTTCCCCAAACTCCAGCCCTCCTGATGTTGCTGAACTACAACTCCTATGATTCTATGAATTAAATAGATAGGCTGAGAATCATGGGAGTTGTAGTTCAGCAACATCTGGAGGGCCGGAGTTTGGGGAAGCCTGCACTAGGGGCTTCCAACACCGATTCAATAATTGAAACTATTTTACGTCTGGCATCTGTTCACAGTTCAGGTAAAAGCTTGCATAGCCAGAAGTGTCTGGTAACATCCATTCCTGTTTCACGCTAATGAGAAGATAGTAAAAAAGCCAAAATGAAGCTGTTCTTGTGATAATAAAAAGCCCCTTTAAAATAATAATTTGGATGGAATAGGAATCTGCTACCCAGAGACTTGCTTTATAAAGGATTGCAACTTACCACACTATTTATTTCAATATCTATTGCACTGGGGAAGTTAAGTTAAACAAAAAGATACATCCAACACTTTATACAAATAAATAATGTGATGGAAAAACACTTATCTTAATAGATAGTGGTAGCCATTTCCAGGAATATCCCAGATTATATTCCTTTCTATATGGTACAAAAAGCAGCAAGTATACTCCATGGAGAGTGTGTCTGTAGATCTACAAATGAGATTAGGGAAATACAAAAGGAACATATATAGTGTAACACTGTTTTGTAAAAAGTAAATTGTGCAGACACAAATTACATTTACTAGA